TATTCTCACTGGTTACTGTTTTTCGTTAATAATTTAAAAATCATGGCTCACTTTGCATTTTGCCAAAGGAAATTATTGTTCAGAAACACCTCCAGAATCACCTCTCTTCTGCTTTAATACTTTTTCTGGAAAACCCTGCATATCATACTACCCTCCCTGGCGAAGGTCGATCATTCATACCGCATCATTACTATTTTCAAACAAGGAACTGGAGGAAGCAGAACATGCCGTGGCAAGATGATCCATACAGTTTCCCACAATATTCACCAGACAATAAGATTTTAGAAAAGTTTCGCGTAGAGCATACGTCCATGGTACGATCGCGGATACATATCATCGTAACTCATACATCGTATAAAAAATAATTTTCTTCCTCCTCCTCGATTAGATCAGCATAGTGGAACCGTTAGAATACCTCATCTTCGATAATCCTACGAAACTGATAGAATCAAAAATGCTGCACTCCGCGATTGTACAGACATACAATGTTGGAATGCAGGAGGTCCACAAAAGACTCAGTGTCAGGCAGAGGGGATGCAAAATGATAGTTGACGGGGGTTTACCAGCGGTACCGTTCTACTCGGAAAACGTCTGTTACGCGGAGTGCAGAATGCGAGAGATATTAAAGAAATGTTACTGCCGTCCACACTTCGCTAAACCGATCGGCAAGTAGAGAATTCAGTACTTGGAAAGACGCATTCTTCTTTACAATTTTTACATAAATGAATATCGCAGACGGGCAGACGACGTGCAGCGCGGCGCAACTTCGTTGTATCAGTCGGTTCAAACACAAACTTTTCCTTTACGGCTTCGCACCCAAATCCTGCGACTGTCTAGAAAAATGCAACAAACATATCTACTACCTCAAGCCCACTGCGAGCAGCGCATTGTATTGTCCCTATTACATACTCGGTATTCAAATTAAGGATTGTCCCATATTATACGTGAAATCTTTCTCATGAATTCTAGGGACGATGCACCGATTAGCTCGTCAGTTATGACTTTGGAGATCAAACTCCCGACCGTGATTTACTCCCGGGAGCTGTCGTACGACTTGTCCAGTTTTCTGTGTAGGTATCCGTAAGCGTTCGAGTCTGCATTGATGAAAAAATCTATTATTACAGCTAGCATTGGTGGAGCAGCAGGCCTGTTCATGGGAGCCAGCGTGCTGTCTTTCGTCGAGCTGTTCTATTTTGTCACGTTGCGTTTGTACTTTCGCACGAAAGAATATATGGCGAAGAGGATGGAGAAACTGAGTTTGTTCAAATATTTGAGGGGGCGAAAATAACAACGCCTCGTTTAAAAAATATCGTTTGTTGTAAACAAGTTAATTCTTTTCGACGAGCCACGATGC